AGCTCCATTGTGCTCTGAGCCCCATCTGCTCGAAGCTACATCATACTGTGAGCAGCATGTTCTCTCAGCTCCATCTGGCCCTGAGCACTATCTGCTCTGAGTCCATCTGAAACGAAGCAACATTTGCTCCAAGTTCCATCTCGCTTAGAGCTCCTTCTTGCTCAGAACTTCATCTGCTCCAAGCTCCATCTTGCTCAGAGAACCATCTGCTCTGAGTTCCATCTTGCTGAGTACTCCAATTGCTTTCAACTTCGTTCTGCTCTAAGCACCATCTGCTCAAGCTCCATCTTACTGTGAGGAACATGTCTTCTGAGCTACATCTCGCTTGGAGCTGCATCTGCTCCAAGCCCCATTGTGCTCAAAGCTCCATTTATTCCGAGGTCGATCTTGCTTCTGAGCATCATCTGCTCAGAGCTCCAATACTACAGAGCAATGTTTTTAACTTCCAATCACTCTGAGCTCCATGTTGCTCTGAGCACCGAGCACCGTCTGCTCTGAGCTCCACCTTACACCGAGCAACATCTGCTCCAAGTTACAACTTGCTTGGAGTTCCTTTTTATTCATAGCTCTATTCGCTCCAAGCTCAATGTTCTCTGAGTTCCATCTTGCTTGGAGCTCTAATCACTCTGAAATCCATCTTGCTCTGAGCACCAAATGCTCGGAGCTCCATTTTACTCTGAGCACCATCTACTCTGAGCTCCAGCTTGCTCAGAGCTCCATCCACTCTGAGCTCCAGCTTGCTCAGAGCTCCATCTTCTCTGAGCTCCAGCTTGCTCAGAGCTCCATCTACCCTGAGCTCCATCTTGCTATGGCACAATCTGCTCAGAGCTCCATCTGCTCTGAGCTTCATCTTGCTCAAAGTTCTAATCACTCTGAACTCCATCTTGCTCTGAGCACCATCTGCTCTAAGCCCCATTTGCTCAGAGTTCCATTTGCTCTAAGATCCTTCTTGCTCAGAGCTCCCATTACCCCAAACTCCATCTTGCTCTGAGCACCATCTGCACAAACCTTCTTCTTGCCTGGAGCTCCAGTCACTCTGAGCTCCATCTTGCTCTGAGCACCATCTGCTCGGAGCTCCATTTTGCTTTGAGCTCCATCTTGCTCTGAGACCATACGCTTGGAGCTCCATCTTACTCTGAGCAACATCTGCTCTGAGCTTCATATTGCTCAGAGCTCCATCTTGCCTGAACCCCATCATGTTTTGAGGCTCATCATGCTCAGAGTTTCCTCTTGCTTTGAGCACTATCTGCTCCACGGATGTTTACTGCAGCACTATTCACAATAGAAAAGACATGAAACCAACCCATATACGCATCAATGATAGAGTAGAAAAAGAAAATGTGCTAGATATCCTACTATGGAATACTATGCAGCCATAAAAATGTATAAGATCAAGTGCTCTGCAGGGACATGGATGATGCTGGAAGCCATCATTCTCAGCAAACTAACACAGAAACAGAAAACCAAACACTGCATGTTCTCACTCATAAGTGGGAGCTGAACAATGAGAACACATTTTAATACTATTACAACCTCTGAAGATGGTCTCTATTTCTCTTAACAAAGGATATTTATACTTTGCAATTTTTCTCTCTAAAGGATTGTGGCTTCTCTGGCCTGTGCCAGTTTAGGGTACAGGTTGACCACCTCACCTTGAAATGACCCACTCCATGTCTGCACGTGGTTGGTCCCTCCTGTGAACTGTTTGTTCACAGCCTCTTATCACTTGTGGGTCATTTGAGAGGAGGTGTCTCACATAGTGCTGCACCAGGCAAATCACCAACTGAAAGAATTACTGAACAACGTGTGGGCCTGGTTATTTCAAAGAATAAATAGGAGTCAGTTGAAGGTGATAAAGTCAGTAATAGCTTAAGATGATAAGATGTAACATCTTAGATGACCAAGACTAATCCTGTGGGTCCCAAGAACATATAACAATATGGAGTATGCCAGCAAAAGGCTCACCCACCAGACAACAACAAATGATGCCCTGGCTCAAAGGTTAAATGTCCTCTCTCCATGTGTGAAAGCACATGACCAGCAGGAGGCAAAACCAACAGGGAGACAAAGGCTTTGCTGCATATCTGTGGGCTTCAGTCTCCAGTGAGACACTCAGAGCCTACATCTCCTCTGTTACCACTGCTGCTTTTATTGTACAGAACATTTCCATATATGTTTCATTCTATTCTCTAAATTCTGTGCTTCATTTTTCTCTCAGTCTAGTAATGAATCAACATCACACTTTTGATTTCCAAGTATTTAAAATACATGAAAAGTTATTTTTTATATTCAGACTTTTATGGATATTTTTATTCTTCTTTGCAATCAATTTTATCTCCATGCACAGATAGTAGCTACATTGAAGTCAAGCTCAATTTATTAATTGATTAAAGAATCACTGACCTCTTCATACTATTATACATTTCTAAAATTGTGGTTTCATTATATTTTATCTGTACAAATCCATTTCATATTTTATACATTTTTACAGCAATTCTAATTTTGTGAAATTTTAAAAATATACCATGCTGTAGAATCCTGACAGTGTCTTTTCACATACACGATCATGAACACATGGCATTCTCATTAACTCTGTGAATGTGCTTAATAGTATTACAGGATTTGCAAATGCTGAATCTCACTTGCACTCCTGCCATAAAGGATATCTGGTCATGATATACTAATGTGTTGATACAATGGCTCCTAATATTTTATAACTTTTACTTTTATACCCACATGTCCTATTTGTCTTAGTATTCTGTGGGTCTCAGTCCAGTTAATGATCTTATGTGGCCCTCCAAAATTTTGGGGGGGACATTTAACCGCTTTATAACTCTTACACAGTTTAAGTGACATTTGTTTACTAAGTTTTTGACCTGTTTTGTTTTGTTCTGTTTGTTTTTTCTTTTGTTATGTTTTTTAGATGGAATCTCACTCTGTCCACCAGGCTGGAGTGCAATGCGGTGATCATGGCTCATTGCAACCTCTGCCTCCCAGGTTGAAGCTATTCTCCTGCCTCAGTCTCCTGAGTAGCTGGCATGACAGCTGTGCACCACCACATCCGGCTAATTTTTGTCTTTTTAGTAGAGAGGGGTTTCACCATGTTGACCAGGCTGGTCTCAAACTCCTGACCTCAGGTGATCTGCCCGGCTTGGCCTCCCAAAGTGCTGGGATTACACATGTGAGCCGCCACGCCTGGCATACTAAACTTTTTTATACTGGAACTTATTTGTTTATGAGAGTTCTCTTTTGATAAATGTCTTTGTTATCTCTATTATTTCACTAAAATTTACCCCTATTGAGATAGAGATTCTAAATCGATGAACCACCTTACTGGTACTATGTTCATAATACTGTTAATCACAGTAAAAGTAGGTATGCTTTTAGAAAATCAAAGTTGAAAGATCAAAAACAAAAAAAAAAAAAAGAAAAACACACACACAGGAAAACAAAATAAAACTTACATTGTCCCTCTCCATCCATTAGTAGCATAAACACAGAAAGATAACAAAATGGACCAAATGAAGGAGGCAGATCATCAGACCAAAATTATATAGAGTAAACACATTTTTCAGAAACACACCAAAGGTACCCAGGTTGAGAAACCTGGATATTCACGTGCAAAGGACTGAAGAACCTTATGTTGCACAATACACAAATATCAACACAAAATAAACTGAACACTTAAGTCTAATCTTGAAACTCAAAAAGCTCCCAGGAAAAAAACACAGAGTGAGTGTCTATTTTGGGGAAACTTGAATCTGTGCACACCAGTTGCAAAAAGAAAAAAATAGGGAGAATATACACATACACAATACAATGGCTTCACCATCTCTTTTTATTTCTCAATGGGACACAGAAATCACTGGCAACAAAAGCAAATATAAGTATGATAGATAAAGGACAACTTTAAAATTTCTAAACAAGAAGAAAACAATGAACCAAAAGGAAAGGCATCCTAAAGATTGGGATAAAATTATAGAAAATTATGTATCTCAAAGGAACCATTATCTAACACACACAAGAAACTAAAGGTACTAAGTGGGCAAAAAGATGAAACAACTAAAACCTATATTGATCCAAACAATCTGTTACTGGCAGAAAAAGAGCCTACCCAATGGACAGAATGACGGAGTCCCATGTGCCACCCAAATGTATATACACAGTGAACACAGTTTTCAAACGAACACAAAATGACACAATGGGAAAAGAAAAGTCGGCTCAATAAACGATTTTCAGGAAACTGGATAACCACATGAAAAACAGTGAAATAGGACAGAATCCATGTAAATTACACTGAAGACTTAAACTCAGTTTTGAAACCACTTACTTCCCTTAGGAAACACAGGGTGAGCATATATTTTAGAAGACTAATCTATGCACACAATTTGCAAAATGTAAAATATAAAAATATATAAAATAAAAAGAAAAGAAAAATTAGAAGGAAAAAACCCATAGACAATGCCAGTGAAAAGGCTTGCAAACTTTTTCACTGTTTTTAATTGTACACAAAAGCCACCACTAATATATAAACATGTGGGACTACGGAAAACATTGGCTCTTATGTAGGGAAAAGAAAACAATGAACCAGAAGAGAAGGCACCTCACACACTGAAAGAAAACGAGGGAAAATCCTGTCTTTGAAAGGGGTTCTTATAAAATATGTGCAAGAAACTAACACTACGATGTGGGAGAAAACAAAAACAGAAACAAAAACAAATACCCAAGCTAAGTCTGGGCCAAGGACCTGAACAGACATGTCTGAAAAGTAGATGAGCAATTCACTCATAGGTAAAAGAAAAAGTTTCCCAAAAGCTCTAATCCTCATGAGAATGTCAAGGGAAACCACAGTGAGATACCACTTCCATACACATAGAATGAATGTTACTGAAAACAAAAATACAAGTTTGAAAACGAAACAACTGGTATAGACTTGCAGAAGGGGAAATTCTTCTCCTACACCCTTGGTGGGAATATCAATTGGTACACACTCTAGCAAAAATAGCTAGAAGTTCCTCTAGCAAAGCAAAAACTCCATTTCATCTAGCCTTCCCACCACTGGCTGTACATTGACAGTCAATGAAATTCCTATGTGGAAGAGATACCTCCCTTGCCCTGTGTACTGTAGTACTCACAATAGCCAAGATACGAAATATGCCTACCCGTTCATTCACTGATGAAGGGATGAGGAAACTGCAATATGCATCCAGAATGGAGTATTCTTCAACCATAGAAATGGGTTACATCTAGTCATTTGCAGCCATGTGGAAAAACCTGAGGGACATTATGTTAAATGAAATGAGCCAGGCAAAGAAAGGCATATACTGCATAATCTCACCTATGTGGAATCTAAAACACTTGATCTCATAGAAGTAGAAAGTTCAACAGTGGTTACCAGAGGCTGGGGAGAAGAGGGGCCTGGGTAGGAACTGGTAATGGTTACCAAGTTACACTTAGAAAACTGAACTCAATCCTACCCTTCTCTTCTATAGGGTTAATATAAAAATAAAAAAATAAAAAGACTAGGGTTAATATTGTAGTGAATTTTCCAAATAGCTGGAAAGGATTCTGAATATCCTCTCCACAGACAAATAATACCCAGAGGACTTCACAGATGCAAAATATTGTGATTTCATCAATATGCTAGGAGTAACTATATCAAAATGGCCCCTGCATCCTCTACTTATGTACATATACTTTAGGGCAATTTCTTTTATTTAAAAAAAAAAAAAGAAAAAAGGATGCCAACGATGCTAAAATTCACATGGAACCATGAAATGCCCTAAACTTCAAAAGCATTTCTGGAAATAGAAAGTATGTGGGATGCATCACTGTCCTCCATTTGAAATTATATTGAAAAGCTAGTTTTCTAAATAACAGATGACTGGCATTAACCAAGACACCCAGGCCAACAGACAGAATGAGGGAGCTTAATCACAAACCCAAACTCCTTGGTAGTGTACACATTTTGTAAAAGAACACCAAAAGACACAATGAAGAAGGGGGAATCTGTTTAATAAGTTGTTTTAAAAATTGGATGTCCCCATATAAAATAATAAAATAGAACCCCTATTGTGTAAAAGGCACAACAATCAACTCAAAATGAATTAGAGACTAATACACAAAACTTGAAACCATCAAGCTCCCACAAAGAGAAGACATACAGTGTGGGTATATTTAGGTCAATGTGGATCTGTGTTCACACTGTGCCAAAACCAAACAAACAATACAGGGGGAAAACTCATGGGAGATGGATTAGTTCGGACATGATTTTGTTTTTCTTCATCAGTCACCTATGTCACAGGGAACCAAGAAAACAGACACACGTGGGAATGCATCCCACTCTAGAGTTTGTGCCCAAGCAGATTAAAAAAAAAACCATGAAAAAAATAAAAAAATCATCCTCAAGTTTACGAGAAAGGTTTCGGCAAACATACATCTAATAAAAGGTTGTCTTCAAAATGTCTAAGCCACTAACACTACTTACTAGCAAAAACACAAATGAGAAACTAATAACCAAACAAAATGGGTCAAAAGAACCTGAATAGACATTTCTGCAAAGAAGACATAACATTGAAAACAAGTTTTAAGAACTTGGATAGCATCACAAATCATGAGAAAGATGTAAATCAAAACAACACATACATCATCTTACTGTAATTCAAATGGATGTTATCAAAGTTATAATATACATTAAAACAGACACAAATGTGGGTGTAAATTTCCAGAGAGCAATTCATTTGGTAAGAATGTTAATTAGTATACAAACTACAGAAACCAGTGGGAGGTTCCTCCCAATATTAAACCTACAACTACCACTTCATCTAACAATTCTACCATTAAGTATACTTTCAGGGCAAAGGAAATCAGTCCATGCAAGAGATATTTGCCATCCTATGTGGACCGCAGCACTACTGACAACTGCCAAGATAAAGAATAAACTTACCTGTCCAGCCACAGATGAAGGGATAAAGTAACTGCGATGGATGTACACAAATAGAATAGTCTTCAACCAGAAAAACAGAATGAAATGTCATCATTTGGAGCCATACTGTTGAATCTGGAGGACATTATGGTAAATGACCTAAATCAGGCAGAGAAACAAAAACACTGCCACATCTCACTCATGTAGAATCCAAAATAAAAGGCTTCATTGCATAAATCTAGAGAGCACCATACTGGTTACCAGAGGTTGGAGGGAAGAGGGGGCATGGGCAGGGATCAGAAATACGTACAAAGTTACACTTAGATGAGAGGCATGAATTGTTCCTCTCTGTTACACAGCACAGTGACTAGAGTAAATTAACACAACATCACACCTTTTTCACAAAATCTGGAAAAGAAGATTTCACATATTTTCACCATAAAGAAATTAACAACTGTTTGTGATAATAGAGACTCTTGTAAATGCAAGATTCCACGTTTCCATCACAAAGAAATTAACAACTGTTGGTGATAACAGAGATCCTAAATATCCTGATTTTAACATTTCTCTGTATCTGCATTAACCAAAATGCCCCGCTCTAACTTCCCCCATTGTATGCCATTACTGTATGGACAACCTTTTAAAAAATATGTAAACACACAATGCTAAAGTTCATGTGGACCACAAAACACCCTGAATTTCCAAAGCAACGCTGAGAAATACAAACTACACTGGTTGTGTCACACTTCCTGATTTTACATTCCATTGAAAAGTTAGGGACCCTGTTCCACACAGACCAGTGGAATAGATTAGAGAACCCAGACGTAAACCCGCACCCCTAACACCATCTGATCTTCAACAAAATCCACAAAACTAAGCTTCGGAGAAAGGATTCCCTCCTCTCAATAGAGGGTGCTGGGATGAATGGCTAGCCAGTTGCAGAAGAAAGGCAGTGGGCCCCTGTGTCTCACTGTGTACCGAAACTAACTCAAGATGAATGAAAGATGTAATGCAAGACCGCAAACTATGAAAAGCCTGCAAGAGAACCTAGGAAATACCCTTCTTGACAGAGGATTTGGCACAGCACGGATATGCCTATGTCCCTGCTTTGTGTATTAGTCTCTAATTCATTTTGAGTTGGTTCTTGTGCCTTTTACACAATAGGGGTTCTATTTTATTTTATATAGGGATATCCAATATTTAAAACACTTTATTAAGCAGATTCCCCCTTCTTCGTTGTGTCTTTTGGTGTTCTTCTACAAAATGTGTAAAAAGCAAGTGCAACTAAAACAATTATTGACAAGTGGGGCCTAATGTACAAAACAGCTGCTGCACAGCAGTAGAAATTACCAACACAGTAAACGGACAGCCTACACAGTGAGAGAAAATGTTTCCACGTATGCATCTGATGAAGTCTAATATCCAGGATCTACCTCAGAGACCTTAAGCAAATCAATCAGCAAAACAAAAACTCAATGAAGAAAGGGCAAGGGGCATGAAAACAAGCATCTCAAAAAAGGTTTACAGCAACCAACAGACAGGACAATATTTCTCTACCTCAGTAATCATCAGAGAAATGTAAAGCAAAAGACCCACGAGATAGTATTTCACACTGGTCTCAATGATGATTGTGACACAGTCCACAAGAATGAATGCCAGTGAGGCACGGGAGGAAAGGGATGCTGGTCGGCTGTTGGTGGAAATGAAAACTAGTTTGGACACCATGGAGAGCAATGTGGGGATTTCTCAAATAACTTTATTGACATCACTAATCCTCACAAAAAAGTCCATGAAAACCACACTATGATTCCGTCTCATTCCACTCAGAATGAATACTACCCAAAACAAACAAAACACAGATTTTTTGAAAGTGACATCCAGTATAGACTTACACAAGGGTAACCTCTTAAACACTATTGGTGGGGATGTAAATTAGTATACACACTATGAAAAACAGCTAGAGATTCCTGAACAAATTCACAGTACAACTACCATGTCAGCTAGCAACCCCACCAGTTCCACATTTAAAGCAGTTGAAATCCTAGGTTGAAGAGAGCTATCTGCCTTCCCAGGAGTACTAAAGCACTTGTAACTGTGGCAAGGGTACAGAACCAACCTACCTGTGCATATGCAGCTGCAGGGATGAGGAAACTGCTGTATAGATACACCACAGAATATGTTTCAGCCACAAAGCTTTGGAAAATCCTGCCATCTGCAGCCACATGAAGAAACCTGAAGAACATCAAGTCCAATGAATGAGCCTGGTCGAGAAAGACTGATGCCATGTTATCTCAGGGATGTAGACTGAAAAGAACTTTACGTCCTAGAAGTAAAAAGTTCAATAGGGGTCACCAGAGTCTGCAGGGGAGGTAGAGGCGGTCTGGGAAGGAATCAGTGATGGGTACAAAGTCACTCTCAGATGAGAGTGATCAAATCTGGTCTTCTATTCCATAGCAGGGTGATTAGCCTTAACACAAATGTATCATATGTTTCAAAGTAGCTAGAAGGAAAGATTCTGAACGTTGTTACCACTCAAAAAATAAAAACTATATGAGGTGAAGAGATGCTAAATAACCCGATTTTATCATTACTCAACATATACATGTATCAAAATCTTCCTTGTATCCTCTGATCACATACATTTAGTATATGGCAAATAGTGCTTGAAGAAATAGAAAGAAACAACACCACAATGTATGTGAAAATGTGAAACATGTTGAATTTCCAAAGCTATCCTGAGAAATACAAACCATATGGGATGCATCACATTCTCTGAGTTCTAATTATTAGAAAATCCCTGGTTAACCAACCCATATGTTACTGGCATACACAGAGAAACACAGACCAGTGAGGAAAAATGAGGATGCTCAAGAATCAACACAAAATTCTACAGATTGAACACATTTTTCAAAACACCACCAAAATGACACAATGGGGAAGGTTTCCAAAACTAGATATCCATGTGCAATATAATACAGGACTCTTATGGTACTAGATACACAATAATCAACTCAAAAGGATTAAAGATTATACACAAAACTTGCAACCATAAAGCTCCTATAAAGACAACCTCTGGTGTGTGTATATGCAGGGTAACTTGAATGTATGCTCATGGTTTTCAAAAAGTAACAAAAATACAAGGAAAAAAATCATTGACAATGGACTGCTTTGGTAGCAATTTTGTTTTTTCTTGATTAGTAACCAACAGCGCAGCTAACCAAGAAATTCTACACGTGTGGGACCATGTCAAACTGAAGAGTTTGTGCCCAACAAAGAAAACAATGAACAAAATGAAAAAGCATACTGAAAAGTATAAGAAAAGTTTGGGCAAACATACAGTGGATAAGGGGTTGTTTTTGAAAATGTACAAGCTAGTAACACTGCCAGGTGGCAAAAAAAAAAACAAAACAACAGAAAAATAACCAGTTCAAAATTGGGCAAATAATCTGAGTAGATATTTCTGCAAAGAAGACAGGAAACTGAACCAATGTTTACAAAAATGGGGTTAACATTACTACTCGTGGGAAAAATATAGATCAAAACCACACTCAGAATTTATCTCACTCCAACTAGAATGAACATTACAAAAAGATTAAAGTATTTAAAAAGACAATTACTACGCTGGGCACAGAGGCTCATGCCTGTAATCCCAGCATTTTGGGAGGCCGAGGCAGGTGGATCACGTGGGCAGGAGATCAAGACCATCCTGGCTAATACAGTGAAACCCCATCTTTACTAAAAATACAAAAAATTAGCCGGGCGTGGTAGCGGCTGCCTGTAGTCCCAGCTACTCGGGAGGCTGAGGCAGGAAAATGGCATGAACCCGGGAGGTGGAGCTTGTACTGAGCTGAAATCGGCCACTCCACTCCAGTGTGGGTGACAGCGCTAGACTCTGTCTCAGAGAAAAAAAAAAAAAAAAATCCTGGTATGAATTTCCAGAAAGGGGAACTGTCTGTGGAAACGTAAATTAGTATTAACACTATAATAAACAGTTGAGGGGTCCTGCAAATAGGAAAAAAAAGAAACACCAAACCATCTAGCAGTCCCACTACTGGGTAATATTCAACCCACCTGTTCATCCACAGATACAGAGATCAAGAAACTCTCATATACATACACTAGGGAACATTCTTCAGCCATCAAAACAATGAAACACTGTCATTTAGAGCAACGCAGATGAACCTGGAAAACATTATGCTAAATGTAATGAGCTAGGCCTAGAAAGACAACACTGCATGATACCACTCACGTGAAATCTTAAGATGTTTATCTTAAAGAAATAGAAAGCACAATATTAATTACCACAGTCTGGGAGCTAGAGGGGGAATGGGGAAGGATTGGTTATGGAAACAAAGTTATCTTAACATTAAAGGAATACATCTGAATGTTCTCCTCAGCCCCGGTGACTGGAGTTAACAATATTATATTTTTCTAAAGAACAAGAAGGGATAATTTTGAATGTTCTCTCTGCACAAAAATAATACCTGTGTGAGGCAATAGAGCTCCCAAGTACCCTGATTTGATCATTACCCCATCTATATGTATGAAAATGTACCCCTAACTAAAGACCTTTGTGTTGTGAAATAAAGTTAACAGCAATAAATACATATTGCTAAAAATCACAAAGAGCCACAAAGGCAATGAATATCTAAAGGAACCCTCAGAAATACAATCAAAGTGAGAACCACAATCCTCAATATCAAATTATACGGCCAAGTTGTAGTTATGTAGCAGAAATATGGTACTTGCATAAATAAAAATACCTAGAACTGTGGAAAAAAACAGGGAGACCAAAAACATAATCAACACAAATATGGACATAGTCAACCGACTTTTATAAAGAACACTACAATGCGGAAGGCGGTCTGCTCAATGAATACCTTTGAGAAAAATGATATCCGGACGCAGAAGCGAGAACAGGATCCTTGTTTTACACGACGTATGAAAAACAAACCCCCTCCCCCAAATTGAAGGCCAAAAGACCATAAACCACAAAAAGGTTTTTAAAACACAGGATGAACATGTATTTTGGGTTACTTGAATCTCTGCACACCTTTGCAAAGAGGAAAACAAACAAATACCTTTGAAGAAAAACCTCACTAACAACTAAATGCTTTGTCATTGATAAATATTTTCTTATAAGGGCGACCAAAATTACATACATGAAACACAAAAATAAACATATGGGACTATATCAACCTGAAAAGTTTCTGCACATCAACGAAAACTACTTTCCAAATAAAAAAGCGTCCTATAGATTAGGAAAAAATTTCAGGCAATCTTGTAATTCACGAGTTTTCATCTGATGTGTACACAAAAAACACTACAAAGTAGCAAAAGAATCCAATCAAATATTTCGCAAACAAATATTTCGCAAAGAACCTGGACAATTCTGTACACTCATGAAAAAGAACAACGGATACGATATAGGGTCCTCAAAATTAACTATGCATTGGAAAACTGTAATTCAAAACCACACCCAGATAATCTCACACTTACTGAATATTCCTAAAAAAACTTTTAAGAAATGGGGGGGGGGGGGAGCGGTGGCTCAGGCCTGTAATCCCAGCACTTTGGGAGGCCAAGGTGGGTGGATCACCTGAGGTCAAGAGCTTGAGACCAGACTGACTGATATCGTGAAACCCCGTCTCTACTAAAAACACAAAAATTAGCCGGGTGTGGTGGCTGGTGCCCAAAGTCCCAGCTACTCTGGAGGCTGAGCCAGGAGAATTGCTTGAACCCAAGAGGCGAAGGTTGCAGTGAGCCGAGATCACGCCACTGCACCCCAGCATGGGCAACAGAGCAAGACTGTGTCTCAGAAAACAAAGCAAACGAAAAGAAAAACATAGGAATGCGAGTGTGGTTTTCGAGAAAGGGGAACTCATACACTGTAGGTGGAACTGAAAATCAGGATATACATCATGGAAAACAGCTAAATAGCTGGAGACTCCTCAAAGAATTGAAACTACACGTGTCCCCTGCCCTAGCGAGGTCTCTTGCTAAAGGTCTTGAGGCATCAAAAATAACCCTAGACCCCAGCTCAGAAGCCCATGGGGCTCGGAGGCACCCAGGACCCGCGCTTCACCGCCAGGGCTCTGGGCCAAGGGGCGGCAGGGGGGCGGACGCTGACAAGGCCGGGACCCCACAACTGCCTACATGCGGACGACTTGGGCCCAGATGCCCAGAATAAGTCAGGGCCCGAAAGCAAGGAGTGACCGGGGAGGAGCAGGGAGGTCCAGAGGGTTTCCGGTGGGGTCCATGCCCCGGACACTTACCGAGACTCGCCTCCTCCTCCACCGTCACGCCGAACCCACCACGGCTTCTCTGAAGCTCTCTCTGACCACGCCGCTCCGCCGCCGCTGCCGAGGCCTCACAGGAAGTGTAGTCTCGGCTTCTGTAGGGGCGGCACATGCACGCGGGCACATGCACGCTGGCAGCGCCCCTCGCGCCAGGTTGAAGCACCACCCCCTCTTAAAGGGCCCGTGGCTCAGATGGGCCAGACGCAGCTTAGGGTTGTGGCACAGGCTGAGCCACTGCCCAGTCCCAGGGGTCAACGAAAGGCCCCTAGTCTCTCATCCTCCCTGGCTCTAGGGCCCAAGAGGTCGCAGGAGCGCTCCCTGTGACCCCGGCCACGAGATAGGCTCCTTTGTTTGGGGAGCCCCCGGGACCTGCCCCTGCCCTCCTCTGAACCTCAGCTTCACCATCCCCAAAGGAAGCGGCCTGGCTGAAACTCTGGGGTCCCTCAAGCTCGGCACCTCAGGATCCAGGGTGGATCCCCTGCCTCTCTGCAGAGGGGGCCCAGAGAATCACAGAAAGCTGGGGCTGGAGGGACAGTCCCGAGGGTAGCAGGGCCTCCCCGGCCCCACTGTCCGCATCTGTCCTGTGGGAGCCCGGGGGCCTCTCTAGGGCCCAGACACCTGCGGCCTTACCAGGGCTGCCTGGGTCACCCGGGCTCCCCAGGAGGCAGGTAGGGGCTCTGGGGTCCAGTGCTGCCCCACCTCATGCACGATGATCCATCCTGCATCAGCGCCCGCGAGGGGCCCTGTGGACAGGACCCAGGCCCGCCCATTCCCGGAGAGAGGGACCCGCATCCGTCTCTGTGACACCCAGGGCACAGGCTGTGCTGAACTCTCAGGAATCTGGGGGCGAGGCGGGGGAATCCTAGCAACCTCTTGAGGCCCGCTGAGTTAAGGAGGGACTCCTCCTTAACTACTTTGTGAAGCCAGTGTCAACCTGATATCAAAACCTAGGAAAGACACAAGAAAAAAAAAAAAAACCTACAGGCCAATATCCCTGATAAATATATACCTAAAATTCTCGACCAAATACTAGAAAACTTAACCTAGCAGCACAACCAAAAGTTCATCGTCACCCTGTAGATTTCCGGAATGAAGGTTGTTTCAACATATGCAAATCAAAACATGTGATTTACCACGTAAACATAATTAAAAACAAAACTCAATAGATGCAAAAAAGAAAGCTTTTGATAGAATTAAACATCCCTTGGTGTTAAAGAAAAAAAAAACCCTCAATAAAGTAGGCATCAAAGGAACCTACCTCACAATAATAAGAGCTATCTGTGACAGACACACAGTTGACATTATACTGAATGGGCAAAAGCTGGAAGCTGTCCCCTTGAGAACTAGAACAAAACATGATTCCCATTCTCACCACTCCTGTTGGATGTAGTACTGGAAGTTCTAGCCAGGGCAGTCAGGCAAGAGAGTATATGGGTTTACAAGATTCCTGCCTCAGGATCAGTGACATCAGGCCTGTCCCTGCTGCTAACAAGGCCGACTTTATTATGTGCTGTCATGGTGGTGAAGGCTCCTCCACTTGATGAAGATCTCAAAGACTAGCTCTACTCAAGAGAGATTTAAGCTAAGTTGCCTGGGAGTCTCTGGTGCTTTTTCAGGGTTCTAATGAGACAATGCCATCATCCAAGTATCTCTGAATGCCTAAGTAGCTCTTGCCTCAGGAGCTCTGAGACCTTCTGTTATCTATTTTTGAATTGGCCAAGTCTCCCCCTCCCCCCAGCCAGGAAAGGGAGGCTCTTCCCATCCTTGTCAGATTCGTGTCTTGTATTTCACTCCACAGCCTCCTGGCAAACATCTCAGTGTCTGCAGGTGAGCGTGGCTGGCTGAGTTCAGTCTTGCTTACCGCAACTGTAGACACGAGGTCTGTGGAACTAAGAATCCGTCCATTTGTGAACTGGCAAGATACATGAAGCAAAAGTTATTGAATTAAAAGGATAAATGCATAAATCCACAATATGACAATTCTAATTCTTATATCTCAGAAATTAATAGAAAACAAAATAACTACAACAATAAGACTACAAGATATTAATAGGGGAGATTATAACCAGAGCGCCGGGAGATAAACAGCAATATTCAATATACTTACAACTATTGGTTGACAACTCTTTGGTCTTGTGAGACACTGCTTGTCCCAAGCCACAGCAGCCGCTGGACATTCCTCAAGGAGTACCTCGAGATTCAGACAGGACCTATCCTCTTGCTTCCCCTTTCAAAGTTGGGGGACAGAATGCAGTGCCGCTGTTTAGTGTGGGAAGTGTGAGGATCAAAATATCAGAAACTTTATGTTTCACAACAACTGAGTTCTCCATCAGAAAAAGTGACAAAGGACACCCTTGCAAGTGTAGCTGTGACAGATTTGAAAATTCCTCCTCTGAGAGGCAGGTGCCTACAGTTGCAGAATCACTGCATGGAAAGCACCATGATCCCTACAGTCTGAAGGGGCCGTGGCATAAGTGTGTCTACAATCAAAGCTCACAGCTGAGGCCCTGGGGGAGGATCAGGTGTGCACCAGGGGGTGCACCCCAGCCAGCACTGCACTGACAGGGGCCTCGTCTTTATTAAATTCTGGGCTTTTTCCTGGGTGCTAGTTACAAAATGTGGGTTCAATGAACCCTCTGTCTTGTGGCTGCCACCCATCTCAAGGTCGCACAGGTAATGATCACCACCCCTCCACCTTCTGCTGAGGGTCCGGGTGACCCCCTGGTGGTGTAACCCAGGCCCTCACTCCTAAGGGGCCCTGAGCCTTGCTCACCACAGAGTCCTTGGTCTAGAGCTCCCGCACTTGTCCACATGCCATCAAATGCTGTGTACCGAGAGGCACTTGTGTGGAGCCCCTCCTTCCCCAGGCAGCACAGTCCTGCTCCAGCTGACACCACGGTCCAGGTGGTACTCATTTTTCTGCCCGCAGGTCCCATGGAGGAGCAGCCTGAGGACAAAGCAGCACCCAGAGCTTGTTTTTTCAGAGAACCTGGACCTGCCCTGGCTGGAAGCCCCACAGCTGTGGAAACCAGGACCTCCTGCTTTTCAGAGCCTAGATGTGCAGGATATAGATGCACCTCAGAGGTCCTGGGTGTGATGTGGAAGGTTGGGGGACACTGGACTTCCTGCTACAATGCTCTCATTGCCACATCTTCTACCTGGTGAAACAAGGCAGCTAGCAAAGGTGATAGATTCACCTGGACACGGTGTCCTCCCACATCCGGACCTGGCACCTGAGCCACACTGCTGGGTCTGAAGCTCTCAGGAGCGTGTGTGTGCTGTGACCAGCAGACCTATGGCATGTGCCCTCTTCCTCCCTCTGTGGCATGAAATCAGTTCATCTGATGGTGTCATGTGAAGTCTTGTCCTGATGGGTAGAACTTTCTATAAATCATCCCATGGCCCTGGGGAAAGGCAAGTTCATCCCGGCAGGTTTAGCTCTTTCTGTCAAACACAACCCTGTCCTTCCCAGGGCATCAGGGCCTGGTGCAGTTGTCCCAGCCTGGCAGGAAGTCCCCTTGAGGGTAGCGTGGAGGGCACAGCCTGGGCCTGACTTGTGACCCTGGCAAACGGCAGCTGAGCCCTGGGGCTGACCACCTGCACTTTCTGTTTGGTGGTGGGAGATGTGGGGCAATATTTATTGCCTTTCCTGTAGAGAGCATCTCCCAGCCTGCCCAGACCACTAGACCCCTACAAATGTGACTTGTAGGCAAGTCCTGGCTCTCTGTGGTGCTTTTCTCTCCTGTCCAAGCACCTGTGACTCCCAGGCCTCCAACCTTGCCGGCTTCCCCCATCTAAGCCCCTGATGCAAGGTGAGGACTGTATTGTGGCAGACAGCAGGCCGGTTTACACAGTTCTGGGACAAAATTATAGGTATACATTATTTTATGTCCCAAGTAAACGAATCCCATGTATGGATACATTTTTTGACACAGAGGGAAGAAATGCATTGGTGAGATCCACGGGCCAGAGCTCAGGCCTGTGCTCAGGCTCTGGCAGCAGCTGTGTGGCTCTGGAGCTGTTGTGGGGGTGGGGAGGTGCTGTGTCTTTGCTCACTGAGTTAAAGGCTTCATTTGTTTCTTTGTTCAGTTTGTTTTCTATGACCCCTGTTCAGCAATATTGAAAATCAAGCATTCCTAGGAGGTGGAGACCTTGCTTTGGAGCAGGTCGGGGCATTGGTTGGAAATGGGGAATAGGTAGACAGTGGGAATTTCATTTTCTGGAGCTCATGTGCAGCCTCTTGATGGCCTCGTCACAAGTTCACCTGATGACCTGAGTGGCCACTGTCCTTCTCCTGAGTGGGTTATGAGCTTGCCAGGCACATGAACAGGGCACGCTCACATTTTTCAAGTGAAGAAACTAAGAAGGGGTTGTCAGCAGATTGTCAGCCTGAAGTATGCCAGTGTTTGGTCCACAGTAAACCACATGTGGAGAGCTTAAAAAATTGCCCTCAAATCTGGCCAAAAAATGACAGTAATAAATTCAATTATTACTGTGATATACATTTCTTTAGTTACAATTATATATGTATATCTATGTATAAGTAACAATTTTGCATAAGTTTCTCATCTACCAGTATTTTTTTGTTTTTGCATAAGTTTGCAAGGAACCCTAATGATGGGACTGTCTCTTTTAAACTAAATTTTATAAATAACTCTCAGAGCCATACTGGTAAGAAACAGAACAAAACAAAAAGAACTAGAAACTTGAACAAACATTGGATTTCTGCTGGAAAAAGGGTGCAAAGCGGGCCTGCCTGCTGCACTTCCCAGAGCTAATCCTTGAGCTGAAAGAGCTTCCTGGTGAAGCCTCACATGCTCTGTACCGGGCGTGGGGGGACCCAGACACGTGGGCTCCAGATCTGACCATCTTTACCTAGTTATGGGGTTTCAATCATGTCTTTTAAATTCTTTGAGCTGCAGTTTTCACATATGTAAAGTGAAATATTTTTAAATTTTTAATTTGTGTTATAACCTTGTATAAATATAAAATTGTACATTGAAAGCATTTTAACTGACGTTAAACATTCATGTGTGTGCATGCAATGGCTTCTTAATTATTTTTAGGGCTTAACCTGGTTTTGCTAGTACTGCT